GCTCGCGCGGGCGGCGCGCTCCTGCCCTAGCGGTGTCCCCCGGCCCCTCGCCGGCGCCACCGCCGCAGCAGCCCGCGGGCGGTCCCCGGCCGGCCGCCCCCGGCCCCAGCGCCGCTGACCCTGTCCGCCGCGGGCGGGGACGCGGGCGGAGGCGGTGCCGCCGCGGAGCCCCCGGACGCGACCATGTCGGAGGTGCTGCCCTACGGCGACGAGAAGCTGAGCCCCTACGGCGACGGCGGCGACGTGGGCCAGATCTTCTCCTGCCGCCTGCAGGACACCAACAACTTCTTCGGCGCCGGGCAGAACAAGCGGCCGCCCAAGCTGGGCCAGATCGGCCGGAGCAAGCGGGTTGTTATTGAAGATGATAGGATTGATGACGTGCTGAAAAATATGACCGACAAGGCACCTCCCGGTGTCTAACTCCCTCAAAGACAATGAGTTAAGAACGGCGATAACAGTTATTGGCAAAAAGCATGAAATGAGAAAGCACTTCGAAATTTATTACTAGCTCGCTACCCACGATGAAATCAACAACCTGTATCTGGTGTCAGGCCGGGAGTCAGACGAGGCGCGAGGAGGAGGAGGAGATGGAGGAGGCTGCGAAGGCTCTGGGCTCCTCTGCAAAAATAAAAATAAAAAAATAAATAAAATTTTAAAAATAATTAAAAAAAATCACTATATACACACATATTCAGAAATAAAAAAAGAAGTCTCAGTTGCAGCTATTTGTCAAAATTAATATCCATTTCCTTTTATATACGGTGAATATTGCGTGCGCAATTATAGATCTGGATTTTGAACCACTTAATGAAGCGGCAACACCGGGTGTTTTGAGGTGTTGGCATTCTTCGCTGATTTGGCTGTTTCCAATGTTTACATTATTTAATCTTGCAAAAATGATTCTGTGCACTTGGATGTGAAATGCTGTCCAGTTTTTTTTTAATGTTGTTATCTTTGGATGTACAAAAATTCAGAAAATGATCTCTGTAGATAATTCTGTTTTATTTTGGTCATCTTTTGAAGTTATCAGGAATGTGTTTAAAACAAGAAGAGAAGTTTTCTAAGCAATGATACCTAGAACGAATCCTTGTTTTATTTTGAAATGAATTGTGAAGCTTGTGTTTCTTTGTTGCTGCAAGCTATTTGCCCAAGTTAATGCAAATGGACACATTTTATATGTCAGAAAAAAACACACGAAAAACAAAAAGAAAAAAATGCTTGAGCTTTTTCTAACCTCCCCCTGCAGTCTGTTGTGTGAGCAGCCTGTTTTTTTTCTCTAATATTATGTCAGTTTATTCTCTTTAATGGACTGTAAAAAAAAATGTAATCACAAGAGTGCCAAATATCTTGAAATGCCAAAAGGCATTTTGGTTTCTTTTCTTTTCCCTGTGCTCTGAGTCCACGTACAGGAATGCTTGGAGTGTTTCTGTTATTTATAGGGATTCTCTTAAGGCACACCAGCTGCCTGTTTTGCATGGTATTTGCAAAAATGCCTCTTGCGTGAGGAAATCTTTTACCATTTTTTGTTTGCAACTTTGGACCTCAAGAGGTTTCCCTTCCCTTCCCTGTCCCTCTTTTCTTAATTCGATATTCTGTATGTTGCACCTTGAACCAGCACACAGGGCTATTTCTCCAATGTACAATAAAAGAACTGTTCCTGTGAAAAAAAAAAAAAAAAATGTTAGTTACAATTCTTTTGGTCTCTCACTTTGCCGGGGACTGTGCAGTTAGTTGCTAGTGGCACAAAGACGAGTAAACCATAGCCCTTGCCCTAAAGAAGCACGACCTTAACTGTGCAGTAACTGAATTCTGGAAAATGTACTCAGAAACTTTTGAAGGAAATATGAGGTAGTCTGTTTAGAACAAGCAAGTATGAACATATTTCTGTCACTGAAATAAGAGGATCAAAGAGCTGACTCTGGGCTAGAGGAAAACTTGATCCTGTTGAGCTTTCAAGTTTTTAGGTCATTTGAGTTCCGGGGTAATGAGAAGGCTGTGGTCTCAGACTCCTTTGGGGCGTAGAGATGTAGCTTCTGCTGCGAAAGACTCCATGCGAACTGTGTCTAGACTGCTCAAGCGGGGAGTCTGCTGGCCCTTCAATGCCTTCCGGGCAGGCCCGGCTTCCTTCCATCTGCAGGTTGCCTTCAACCCAGGAAGGACCCACTGAGGTGAGAGGAAGACCCCAGCCAGCTCTTCCTCCCCGCTTTCCCTGGTCCAGGCCAAAGAGCACTTTCCCCGTGGGGAGTCTCAGTGGCGTCATCTAGCGACCTGTCCCAGGGCCTGCTCCGAAATCCCTCCTACCCCTGCTGGGCCTGTGGCTTGGGCCCTGGGACATGGAACCCTGAGCTGGCTGTTCACCTCCCGACTCCCAGATACGCTGCTAGGCCTACAGCAGTTGCTCAAAATCTCAGAGTTAAACTGTCTTTCCTCCCTTTCCCCATTCAGTCATTTGACATATTTATCAAGGGGCCACTATATGTCAGGCCTTGCCCTGGGGATGTGGTCAATGAGACGAAGTCCTGCCTGCACATTTGAGTGGGGGAAAAAGACATTTGGCAAATAACATCACTAATGAATATAAAATAATAGAGATAAGCCTCGGGTCCATTTGAAGTGGAATTCTATGAGAGGATAATAATCTCATTCACCCAGAGTAGGACTTACAAGGCAGAAGGGGGTGGGGAGAAGTGAAAGAACCAAGAGGTGTGGGGCAGAAAGGGTGACAGTTCCTCAAGAAATTGAGCATACAGTCACCATATGACCCAACAGTTCCACTCCTAAGTATATACCCAAGAGCAATGAAAACATGTCCACACAAAAACTTGTATATGAATGTTTATAGCATCCATTATTCATAATAATAGCTCAAAAATGAACCAACCCAAATGTCCATCGGCCGATGAATGGATCAAATCTGATATATCCATGCAAAGAATATTAACTAATAAAAAGGAATGAAGTACTGATACATGTTAAGACATAGAGGAACCTTGAAAACATTATGCTAGGCCTGGTGTGGTGGCTCACGCCTGTAATCCTAACACTCTGGGAGGCTGCAGCAGGAGGATGGCTTGAGGTCAGGAGTTTGAGATCAGCCTGAGCAAGAGCGAGGTCTCTACTGGAAACAGGGAAAATTAGCCAGGCGCAGTGGCACGTACCTGCAGTCCCAGCTATTCGGGAGGCTGAGGCAGGAGGATTGCTTGAGCCCAGGAGTTTGAGGTTGCAGTGAGCTATAATGATGCCACGGCACTCTACCCAAGGCGACAGAGTGAGACTCTCAAAAAAAGAAAGAAAATATTAGACTAAGTGAAAGAAGCCAGTCACAAAAGGCCACATATTATTTGATTCTATTTCTGTGAAATGTCCAAAATAGACAAATCCACAGACACTGGGTGGGTTAAACAACAGAAGTTTCTTTTTCTCACAGTTTTGGATGCTAGGAGTCCAAGAGCAAGACCCCGTCTCCACTAAAAAAATAGAAAGAAATTAATTGGACAACTAAAAAAAAATTATATATATATCACAGCACTCTAGCCCAGGCTAGAGTGAGACTCTGTCTCAAAAAAAAAAAAAAAAGAAACACGCACAGTGTTTCCTGTGTGCCAGGCACTGTCTCACTCAACTAGAAAGTCATTTAGTTCTCACAGGGACCCAGTGAGCTCTTCATTTCTCAGGGCCAGATGACTTGCCCGGCGTCACACTGCCCACATGCATAAGTGGCAGAGCCAGGATTCCGGCACTGCCAGCCTGGTCTGGGGCCCACGCCGTTAATCACGCCACTGTGCCGTGTGTGAGCATCTTGAGAGCCCTGTGAGTTAAGGTTTATCATCCTATTGTTATCTTCATTTTATAGATGAGGAAACTGAGGTCTAGAGAGGTAAGTGACTTGGCTGGGGTCACACTGTGGGTTAGGAGGAAGCCAGGCTAGGAGCCGGAGAGCCTTCCCCAGCCTCTGTAGGCGGGCGTGCTGGGAATGGTGTGGGTCTGTGCACAGGTAAGTGACCAGGGTGCCCGGAGAATCACAGTGACAAAGCCAAGGGAGGGCTGGGCTGGGGGGTTTTGCTGCAGGAGAAGCAGCACAGGGCGCTTGCCCCAGCCTCCCTGACGCCTGTGTTTCCGGCCTCGTCCCTGCGTGCAGAGGCCTGGCCACCCGCTGGAGGTGGCTCCTCAGCAAGGCTGCCTGGGGGCGGCGGGGGACCGGGCCTGCCAGGACAGTCAGGGCAAGTGTGGAAGGTGCCGAAGGGACGCCCAAGAGGGGCCCAGGTGGCAGAGTGCCTGTATCCCTGGGGGAGCCCCCTCCCAGCACCGGTGGGTGTGGCAGAAGCCCGCGTGACCTTGCTGCTGACATTCCTCAGGAGCCACGTGGCCCCAACTGGCAGGGACAGCTGTGCACAGAGGCCGCACCAGCTTTGTTCCCAGGGTGGCGCCCGCTCTCCACCCAGGCCCCGCTCTGGCTCCCACCCGACACTTTCACTCCTGGTTCTTAGCGGGCAGCCGGCGCAGGGGGTCCCCCGCCATGAGCGCCTAGAGGTCTCCGGGAGTGGGGCGCAGGGCTGGGGGAGGATGGGGCAGGACCAGACGAAGCAGCAGATTGAGAAGGGGCTCCAGCTGTACCAGTCTAACCAGACAGAGAAGGCGCTGCAGGTGTGGATGAAGGTGCTGGAGAAGAGCTCGGACCTCGTGGGGCGCTTCCGCGTGCTGGGCTGCCTGGTCACGGCCCACTCGGAGATGGGCCGCTACAAGGAGATGCTAAAGGTGGGGTACCCAGCCCGGGTGGTAAGCAGAGCGAGGGTCAGGCTGGGGCTGGATTCCTCCAGCCCCCCAGCCCCCTCCCGGCCTCCGCAGGCTCCCCTGCGTCCCACAGGCTATCGCAGCTCTAAATCTGCATCTAAAGCCCTGGGTCTTAGGTGCTGGGTCTTGGCTACAGATTCAGGCCTGTGGCCTTGAATTTCGGTGTCTGAGCCTCTGAGACTCAGGTTCTCATGGTGCAGAGCTCAGGGATCTCAAGCCCGGGTCTCACCTGGGCTTCAGCCTTCCTGCGTGGGACTCTGAGTCTGAACCTGGAGGGTGTGGGCTCCAGGTTTGAGGCTTGGGGTGGAAGGGTGAGGGTTGTGAGTCTGAGCGTGGGGGGCTGAGGCTCCAGGCTGAAGCCTCTGGCTTATGCCGGGGGTGCAGAGAATGCATTTGAGGCCAGGGTGGAAGGGCTGGGTCTGTTCTTTGGGTGTGAGACTTTGGGGTGCATATGGAGCCTCTGGGTCTGAAGCTGTGTCTCAGCCCGTGGGCTGGGTGCTGGGGCCCAAGGCTCAGAGTCCAGGCTGAGAGTCACCTGCCCACTGCCTGGTGGGCAGTTTGCCGTGGTGCAGATCGACACAGCGCGGGAGCTGGAGGATGCCGATTTCCTCCTGGAGAGCTACCTGAACCTGGCGCGCAGCAATGAGAAGCTGTGCGAGTTTCACAAGACCATCTCCTACTGCAAGACCTGTCTTGGCCTGCCTGGCACCAGGGCAGGTGCCCAGCTCGGAGGCCAGGTCAGCCTGAGCATGGGCAATGCCTTCCTGGGCCTCAGTGTCTTCCAGAAGGCCCTGGAGAGCTTCGAGAAGGCCCTGCGCTATGCCCACAACAACGACGATGCCATGCTCGAGTGCCGCGTCTGCTGCAGCCTGGGCAGCTTCTACGCCCAGGTCAAGGTGGGCCTGGGTCCCAGGGGGAGGTCAGTGGAGGGCTTTAGGGCTCCCTGAGAGCCTCTCATGAACACACCTTGTCTAGCCCTCCTTATAGGAAGGAACAAGGAGCTGAGAGGTCAAGAAGGGGAAAGACTTATCCAGGAAGGTAACAACTTGGCCTGGGAGGGCAGAGCCTGGATGCAAACCTTGAAAGGATTTATTCATCAAATACTTAATGAGTGTCTGCTATATCCAGGCACCCTTGGCCGAGGGTGCAGCAGGGAGAACAGCAAAGCCCTGCCTTCACTCGGCTTGCGCTCTGGTGGGGGACAGACAATACCGCCGGAGTCAGTTACTTAGCATGTCAGAAAGTGCCTAGAAGAAAGTGAAGCAGGGCAGCGCCGGGGGTGAATGCGTCACAATTTCAAACAGGGTAGTCGGAAGGTGATGTTTGATGACTTGAAAGAGATGAAAGGATGAGCCATGCCAAAATCTGGCAAAAGTGGATTCTAGGCAAAAAAAAGAGGGAACGTAAAACAAAGCTCCACTGTTGGGAACATACCTGGAATGTTCCGGGACAGACAGAAGCCAGCATGGCCCTCAGACCTGTTTCAGATGTGTGAGGGCGTAGACGGGAGGGTGAGGCAGACTGTGAAGAGCTGACAGGGTCAGGGACCACAGGCTTCCGGTCACGAGTGCTTTTGTTCCCTTAGGCATCTGGGCTGTGCTTGGCCCACAGAGGATTTCAATGCCTGGCACATAGTAGATGCTTAATAAATCTTCCAATAAATGAGTGTGAAAATGCTGAGGATGGGAAGATGGGAAAGAGCTGGGATGGGAGGGAATGAGCAGCATAGGACGGCAGCCAGGATTTGGTTTTCAGGAACTAGACGTGAGGGAAGCCATTCATGCAATCAGATAGGACTGGGGAGGCATGGAAGTCTTTGTGAAAATCTTTTTTGTGATGAAGAAAATTAAACTTACAAGAAAGTAGAGAGAATAGTTTAATGAATCCCCATATACTCACCACTTATATTTCACAATTATTAATATTTTTGCCATGTTCGATTTATATATTTACCCGAAGTATTATAATAGAGAATTATAGACATTATGCTATTTTACCCTGAAGGAGTTCAGTATGCATCTCTAAAATTTTAAAAAAAGGAATCTTCTTATATAAAGACACTTTCTTACATAACCACAATACTGTTGTTGCATATACCAAAATTAACAGTAATCTCTGAATAGCATCTAATACCCAGTCCATATTTAAATTTCTCTACTTATCCTAAAAATATGCCTTTACCCTCGGCTTAACCCTTGAACACAAACAAGAGCTGCACATTGCAGTGGTTGTTATGTCTTATAAGTCTCTTTCAATAGAAAATTCCTCCCTGCCTCTCTATTTTTTATATTTTATTGAAGAAACCAGATTAATTGCCTTGTAGAATGTTCCATCTCCTTTTCATGTAACGTGCTGCTTTGTCTCCTTCCCTTCCTAAGAACTGGGAGTTGGACAATGACTTGGTAAGATTTAGGTCACACATCTTTGGTCTAAGTACTGTGCAGGTGATGCTACATACTTCGTGTTACATCATATCAGCATGGTTCAGGCAGTGGCAACCTAATCTATTTTCAGGTTTGCATTTCTTCTCTCATGACCAGCAGATTAACCTGTGGGATGACACTTTGCCACCCTGTGAATGAATATTCAGTTTTATAACATTTTCCATAAAGGCATTGGCTTCCCTTGATATTTGTTGCCTGAATCAATTATTTCATTTGAACTCTAATGAAATTATCATTTCCAAGTTCTATTATTCCTTCATTTATTAGCTAAGAAGTTTCAATAAGGGAGAACTTTCTCGTATCAGTTAGGATGAGTTGGTTAGTCTGAAATATAGTTCCTAATGGAAAGGCAGAATAAATACTTTTTCCCTTTCCTTTAGTTACCACTTCTCAGCCTAAGGAGTTGGTATAATAGTTGCCTTCAGGTGGCTCATGCCTGTAATCCTAGCTCTCTGGGAGGCCGAGGCGGGTGGATCGTTTGAGCTCAGGAGTTCGAGACCAGCCTGAGCAAGAGCGAGACCCCCGTCTCTACTATAAATAGAAAGAAATTAATTGGCCAACTAATATATATAGAAAAAATCAGCCAGGCATGGTGGCGCATGCCTGTAGTCCCAGCTACTTGGGAGGCTGAGGCAGGAGGATTGCTTAAGCCCAGGAGTTTGAGGTTGCTCTGAGCTAGGCTGATGCCACGGCACTCTCTCTAGCCTGGGCAATAAAGTGAGACTCTGTCTCAAATAATAATAATAATAATAATAGTTGCCTTCAGTGGTCACTCTTACTTTGCCTTCTTACTTTTTTTACTTCTTACTTTTTGCCTTTTCTTTTTGGAGTATCATGAAACTGTAGATTTTTAAATATTCAGTATTCTTTAGTCAATTGCAATCATTATTCTTTTTTTATATTCATATTATCTTTTTTGTTTGTTTTTAAGTAGAGATGGTATCTCACTATATTGCCCAGGCTGATCTCAAACTCCTGGGCTCAAGTAATCCTCCCACCTGAGCCTCCCAACATGCTGGGATTACAAGCATGAGCTACCACGCCCGGCCCACATTATCTTACCTTTCTCCAGTGGAAGTCCTTTCAGTATGGCTCCTGTGTCCCTTTGACAAGATTTCATTTTGTCTTTGAAAGCCTTCTTGTTTTCTGGTGCAATAAACTGTCTCAGTCTCATTTTGAACACCCCTGTCCCAGACCTGGAATCTACTGTTTCTCCTGGTTCTTTTTAGTAGGAAATGGTGATGGGGAGGGGCATTGCTTTTTGTTTTGAGATGGGATCTTGCTCTGTGGTCCAGGCTAGACTGCAGTGGTGTGATCATAGCTCACTGCAGCCTCGAATTCCTAGGCTCAAGTGATCCTCCTGCCTCAGTCTCCCAAGTAGCAGGGACTACAGGTGCAGGCCATGACATCCAGCTACTTTTTGTTTTTGTTTTTTTTGTAGAGACAAGGGTCTCACCATGTTGCCCAGGCTAGTCTAAAACTCCTGTCCTCAAATGAGCCTCCCACCTTGTCCTCCCAAAGTGCTGGGGTTACAAGGATTACAGATTTGAGCCACCATGCCTGGTTTTTACTATTATTTCCAATTCAAATCTAATGTTTCAAGAGTTTTCTTCAATTTATTTTAAACTTGATTCTCTTTTCTCTGGAAAACCTTTATTTCTAACAACATAATTAAATATTTACATTATCCTACAATATACATAAAATAATTCCAAATGACAAAACCAATATTACTCTAGAAAATAAAGACAACAGAATGAAGTTTAAGATTCCTTTGCCGTTCATTGTCTTTATAATATATCCCCCTATGGATAAACTATCCAAGTATTTTTTTCCTAAGGTCATTTAAAGTATTTTTTTCCTGTGTGGTTATATTATTATATGATATACAGTTAGGAGCATTTCCATTTTCTATCTTTAGGTATTGTTTTTTAAATTAGACTTAATGTCTTGAATTCGTAAATCATTTACATGGCCCCAAATGTAAAAGTACATAGTAAGTATTATTAGGAAGAGGTTTTGATTGATATTATTGAGAGGGTTTTTGTTTTTTGTTTGGAGACAGGGTCTCACTCTGTTGTCCTGGCTAGAGTGCAATAGTATGATCATAGCTCACTGTAACCTCCATCTCCCAGGCTCAAGCAATCCTCCTGGCTCAGCCTCCTGAGTAGCTGGGACTATAGGTGCATGCTGTCACACCTGGCTAATTTTTTAAATTTTTTATAGAGATGTTATTTTTTTGTTATGTTGCCTAAGCTGGTCTTGAACTCCTAGGCTCAAGAGATCCTCCTGCCTTGGCCTCCCAAAGTGCTGAGATTACAGGCATGAGCCATCACACCTGGCCTGAGAGTTCTCTTTTGATCATATTAACTTGGAGCTGCTTGTTACATATATATATTTTTTTCTTCTATATATATTAGTTGGCCAATTAATTTTTTTCTATTTATAGTAGAAACAGTGTCTTGCTCTTGCTCAGGCTGGTTTCGAACTCCTGACCTTGAGCAATCCTCCTGCCTCGGCATCCCAGAGTGCTAAGATTCTATATTTTAAATGAGATGAGAAATGCCAGAACACGTTTGTATAGGAATGGAAATGACCCTGTAGAAAGATAGAACTCGGTGGTACGGGGACAGGGGGTTGGGGGTGCGCTGGCAAGTGGGGGGCTGGCATTTGACAGGAACAGGGCGCCCTCCTCCACAGTGGGAGGAAGAGAGGCCGGGGGAGCGGGCAGAGGTGGTGAGGTGGGAGTGGGTGGAGGAGGGCGGAGAAGGGAGCTCCTCTCTGGTTTTCCTGTGATTCTCTGATGGAGGATGAGGTGAGGTCATCAGCCAACCATGGGCAGGTAGGAAAGACGTGGAGGTCTGAGGGCAAAGTATGAGAGAACAATTTCATTGCCTCCCTGTGCTGGCTGGCAGTCTGTCATTGAGTCCCCGGGTGCCGGGAGGCTGGCTCTGGTGTGGGGATCTGGCCCCCCCACCATGGGTCTATGAAACTGAGGAGCTCATTTGGGACTGGGTGAGAAGAGAAGCCAACTGTATTTTTTTTTTTTTTTTTTTTTTTGCCTCTTCATTCATTCACCAAATATTGTGCATCTGCCAAGTGCCTGGAACCGTGCTGGGCTCTTGGGATGCATCGGCAAACCAGGAGAAAATCCCTGCGCTCAGGGAGCCACCTTAGCTCTGCCTGGCTCCCTCTTTCCCAAGACGCCAGAATGAACAAATAAACACAGGGCTTCCCGCTGCGGAGAAGCCCTGATGTGGGGCAGCTCCTGTCACTAAGCGTGCCCCCTCCCATCCCATGTCCCCTGCAGGACTACGAGAAAGCCCTGTTCTTCCCCTGCAAGGCCGCAGAGCTCGTCAGCGACTACGGCAAGGGCTGGAGCCTCAAGTACCGGGCCATGAGCCAGTACCACATGGCCGTGGCCTATCGCCTGCTGGGCCACCTGGGCAGTGCCATGGAGTGTTGCGAGGTAGGGAAGCAGGGGAGGGGGTGGGCCAGCATCTGGAGATCTCCAGCCCAGGAAAGTGGGGATGCCTTCTTCCAGATCAGCCTCCTGAGGCCCCTAAGGCTCACCCCTGCCTCTTGCAGCTGAGCCCCTGAAGGATACATTTGTTCCCCCAGCTGCATCCCAAACCCATTCCCTTCCAGTCCATCCTCAGGGAACGGGGCCTCCCTCTGTCCCCAGCACCTGCTGTGGGGCCCTGTGAAGATGGAGAAGGCAGAGAGCCAGTCTCTGGAGTTCTACTGACCTGGGTTCAAATCCCAGCTTTGCCACTTCCTGGGTGACCTCATTCAAATCCCTTCTTCTCTCTGAGCCTCGTTTCTTCTTGTCAAACAACAGTAGCCACTTTGCCAGGTGCCATGACCACAGTGGTTTGGTGCGTGAGGCCTCAGCCCCATGATGGGTGTATTAGGCTCTGAGAACATGGGTTTCCCTGGGCTGTCCCTACAGAGGGCCCCTCTGGGTGGAGGGTGCCGCAGTGGTGGGGACAGATGGGCAGGCCGGAGAGACTGGCGCCCCTTGCAGGAGTCCATGAAGATTGCACTGCAGCATGGGGACCGGCCGCTGCAGGCGCTCTGCCTGCTCTGCTTTGCTGACATCCACCGGAGCCGTGGGGACCTGGAGGTGAGGCCATTGAGATATATGGGCAGGGACGGGTCACAGGCCTGGCCCGGCCTGATTCTGTACCCCTCCTGGCTCTACAGACGGCCTTTCCCAGGTATGACTCTGCCATGAGCATCATGACAGAGATTGGAAACCGCCTGGGGCAGGTGCAGGTGCTGCTGGGTGTGGCCAAATGCTGGGTGGCCAGGAAGGCGCTGGACAAGGTGAGGTCGGGCCCTTTCCTGCAGCCCCGGCTCTCCCCGTGCTCCACGTGGGGCCAGCCAGTCGCCAACAGTCTGCGGGTCCGGTGCTGGGCAGGGCTCTCCCAGCCACTTTCTCTGACTTTGGCTTCACCCTGGTCCTGTGAGGCCAGGACATTCCTGGCCATTTTACAGGCCCATGACTTACCCAGAGACCCACAGCTAGTAAAAGGCCTGGGCTGGGGTTTGAACCCAAGACACTGAGTAAACTGAGGCAGAAGGTCACCTGCCCACACAGTTCTTGTCTCTTCCTGTCACCTTCACACATAGGGCAGCTTCCCTGGCCCATGTCCCCTCCCCAGGCCCAGCCTCCCTACCCCATCTTTTCCTATGAGCCAAGGCCTCTGTCAGACAGCTCTGCCAGAAGCCCTGGCCTGTGCTCACCTTCCAGGCTCTGGACGCCATCGAGAGAGCCCAGGACCTGGCCGAGGAGGTGGGGAACAAGGTCAGACCTGCTTCTGTCTCCTGGGTCTAGGGTCAGGAGCCCAAGCGGGGGCTGGGGTGGGAGGGAAGGGCCCCCAAGTCTGCTCACTGCCTGAGCCCTTCCTGATCCTCTGGGAGCTGCACCGTCCCCAGTCCACCCAGAGAGCACTTCTGAAGGCAGGGCAGGAGCTTCATAGCTCGGGATAGAAGAACTCAGGGACTTCTTGAGTTCATTAGAACTCCCCACAGTGTCCTCACATCCTGAGAGCTGGGCACACACAGGCCCTTATAGGTATCGGTTCTAGTCCTCACTGTCTTCCTGCAAGGTGGGTACAGGGAGCCCCATTTTACAGATGAGAAAAGTGAGGCTCAGGTGCTCAAGATCCCACACCCACTAACTGGTCTGTCTTAACTCCAAAGTATATGTTCCTTCCATAGTGTATGTGGCCTCTCCAAATTTAATAACTATATCCCAGCCTTAAAATGTTGAAAACAGGCTTAGTCATTCCTCGGTGTCTTCTAGAAGATGTGCACGTCTCTGAGATCAGGTGCAGAGTAACCAAAATGCAAGTATGTTTGCTTTTGGCTGGATTATAGCCACTCAGGTTTGCCCAGGTTTCAGGCCAATCAGGAATGCTGATGAGCTGTTGTGTGTGTATTTCATTGATCAAAACAGGAAAGGTGGCCAGGCTCAGTGGTGCATGCCTGTAATCCTAGCACTCTGGGAGGCCAAGGCAGGAGGATTGCTTGAGCTCAGGAGTTCAAGACCAGCCTGAGCAAGAGCGAGACCCTCATTGCTACTAAAAATAGAAAAATTAGTTGGGCGTCATGATGCACTCCTATAGTCCCAGCTACTCGGGAGGCTGAGGCAGGAGGATTGTTTGAGCCCCAAATATGAGATTGCTGTGAGCTACAATGACACCACTGCACTCTAGCCAGGGTGACAGAGTGAGACTCTGTCTCAAAAAAAACACAAAAAAACAGGAAAGGAAATGAATTATTACATTCTAGATTTCGGTTTCTTGGGAAAAAAAAGAAAAAAAGAAATGAATTATTACAGAGTCAATGCAGCAGGTTTGGGCAATAAGATTCTTCAAAAACATGGGGTCCCAGGGGGTTCTGGGGTTGAAGACCTCTGATCTCACCCACTCCCTCATTCTGCATGAAGGGAAACGGAGGCTCAGAGAAGGCAGGACATTTTTCCTAGGTCCATCAGCAAGGCAGGGAAGTGGCTGGGACAGAACCCTGCCCGCACTGACTTTGGTCTCTTCTCCCACGGCTGCCCCCCGACCCCCAGCTGAGCCAGCTTAAGCTGCACTGTCTGAGCGAGGGCATCTACCGCAGCAAGGGGCTGCAGCGGGAGCTGCGCGCGCACGTCGTGCGGTTCCACGAGTGCGTGGAGGAGACAGAGCTCTACTGCGGCCTGTGCGGCGAGTCCATAGGCGAGAGGAACAGCCGGCTGCAGGCCCTGCCCTGCTCCCACATCTTCCACCTCAGGTGTGGCTCCCAGCAGGGTGGGCAGGGTCTCTCCAGGGCACTCCAGGGCCCAGCTGGCTAGTCACAGCAGTAACACACTCACAGCAAAGCCCTACCTCGTGCTTTCTGTGCCTGGGTGTGTTCTGAAAGCTTCCTGTATATTGACTCATTGAATCCTCCCAGCAGCGCACCTAGAGGAGGCCGTTCTCGTTCCCATAATCCCCAGAGAGAAGTCAGAAAGGCCCCTCACAGGTCATGGGATCTGACCCCCAGGGCCAGACCCGCCCCAGGGCCATGGCAGAGGCTGGGCCCCATCTCCACTGCCCTGGAGGTCCCTGGGGCAGAGTGGCCAAGAGGCAAGCTGGGTACAGTGGCAGCCGGGGGGACTAACGGGGGACCCTTCCCTGGCACCACTGCTGGACAGTGGCGAGGGATACTTCCCAGCCCCTACACAGGGCAGGGGAGGAAGAGAGAGAGGGTCGGGGTCCAGATGGAAGGACAGGCCTCAGGGGAGTGGACAGAGCCCTTTGCCTCCCAAGGTGCCTGCAGAACAACGGGACCCGGAGTTGCCCCAACTGCCGCCGCTCGTCCATGAAACCTGGCTTCGTGTGACTCCCAGCAGCAGTCGCAGGCTTCTGCCTTGCCTCCCGGCTCCTCTCCACCACGTGCCGGAGGCCCCTGTCCACTCCCGGGGCAGCACTGCTGCTCCGAGGGGCCTCGCTCCCCTCCCCGCCTCTTTGTACTTTGTTCTTTATAGAAAAATAAACTGTTTGTACCTGGTCCCAGTGCTTCTGACTTTCCCCGCCTGAGGGAGAGTGGGAGCTCCTCAGACACAGTGTTCCCTCTGCACACATGTCCCAGCCCTCCAGCTGCCCCTCCAGGCACTTAGGAGCAGCGACCACCCAGCATCTCAATCCTGCAGCGGTTGGGGGGGAGATAAGATAAACAGTAAAGGTAACAAACAAGCAACGTGAAAATGGTAGAATGCTATTATGGACTGAACTGTGTCTCCCCAAATTTGTATGTCACAGCCTTAGCCTGTTTGGGCGGCTATAACAAAACACCGCAGACTCAGCGGCTTATAAACGACAGACATTTACTTCTCACAGTTCTGGAGGCTGGGAAGTCCAAGATCAAGGCGCTAGTAGATTTGACGTCTGGCTCATAGATGGCGCCTTCTTACTGTGTCCTCGCCTGGTGGAAGGGCCAATGCAGGTCTCAGGGGTCCCTTTCATTATAAGGGCACTGATCCCACTCATGATCACCTCGCAAAGGCCCCACCTGCCTAATAGGGCAACCCTAGCAGACTAATCTAAAAGCAATAAATACTTAGGGACTATAAAGAGTAGAGCATGTTCCCTCTTTCTCATCTTTGCCCCCTTCCCTTCAGTCCTAAAACCATCAGGTAGGACAGAGCAAGACAAGCATCAGGGTGGAGGGGCAGCCTGGTGTGGGGCATTAGAACCCAAGCAGGGTGAGAGGGTGGGGAGTCAGAACCTGCAGGGAGAGAGGAGGCTGTCCACACATAGGGTGTGGCTCGTCCTAAGGTGTCGGAGACCAAGCTGGGAAAGGAGGGGCCACCTGGCATGGGCTGGTGGAGCCTACCCAGGGTAAGGGGGAATCCTTCAGAGCTCGGGTGGGGTGAGTAGGGCGTGCCCGTGTTTAGGGGTCCTGGCATGGGGCATTAGAACCAAGATGGAGTGAAGAGGGATCCATGCATGGAGGGGAGTGGCAATGGAAGATTGGGTGAACAGGGATTGGTCAAATATATTAAGAACAATGGAAGCCAGCTTTCTCACTATTGAAGGAGAGAATTACAAATATGGAACTAGAGAAAACCAGAAGGGACCCTGTGGTGTTGAACTGGAATTGTAGGGATCACTATGAACGCATGGACTTCAAAATACAGAGCTAGATAGAGAGATAAATATAGTTGTAAATTTGTGCTTGTGTCTATTGGCCTAGGAGCAAGGACATGCCGATAACAGGAAGCACATCCAGCACCCAGATCTTGGCTTCTAAATATCATGTACCATTAACAGAACTAAGGCTCTTTGGAGAAAGGCCTGCTTCTTGGCCTGGGCCATGGAAAGTACGAGATGAGACTGAAATATCTTGTGCCAGGAAGCAAAGGAAGCTGAAAGAATGATGAGGATAACGCAAAAGGAGACAGGTGCCCACTTGGATGGGCTCCCGCTGGCCCACTGAAATGAGTAATGATTGTCTTAGCACAGTCTGTAACAACAAAATACCACAGAACGGGGGGCTTAAACAACCTAAATTTATTATCTCACAGTTCTGGAGACTGTAAGTCCAAGATCAGGGTGCCAGAAAATTCAGGAAGCCTCTTTTCCTGCCTTGGCCTTCTTGCTGTATCCTTACATGACCTTTGCTCTGTGCTCCTGTGGATAGAACAAGATCTGTCTGTCTGTCTCTCTCTCTTTCTCTTCCTTTTGGAATAAAGGCACTAATCCCATCATGAGGGCCCCACTCTCATAACCTCATCTAGCCCTAAATACCTCCCAAAGGCCCCGTCTCCAAATACTATCACATTGGGAATTAGAGCTTCAACATATGAATTGGGGGTGGGGCATAAAGATTGAATCTATAGCAATGATGCCAACAGATTTTATTGAATAAAAATAAGAATCCATACCGATATGAAAAATAAAGGCCAGGCGCAGTGGCTCACACCTATAATCCTAGCACTTTGGAAGGCTGAGGCAGGAGGATCTCTTGAGGCCAGGAGTTCAGGACCAGCCTGGACAACATAGCCAGATCCCATCTCCACAAAAAATAGAAAAATTAGCCAGACATGATGGCATTTCCCTGAAGTCCTAGCTATTTGGGAGGCTGAGAGAGGAGGATTGCTTGAGCCCCGGAGTTTGGAGTTGCTGTGAGCTATGATAACACGATGCCACTGCACTCCAGTGTGGGCCACAGAGCAAGACCCTGTCTCAAAAAACAAATAAATATTTTATGAAGGATGGGATATTTACATAGTCCCAAAGTACTTCCCCACAAAATACTAATTTCAAAGGGACAAAAGAGTCACTTCGCAGTGGAGAAGGTTGGCAAACACCAGCTTCAACTGGGTGAGGTTATCATGTCCAGTAATGGAACAAAATGAAATCATGCACTACCTGAAAAAACGCAATGCAAAGCTCAACATCTCTGATAACGCTGCCAAAGATATATAACCCGAAACTATAATCATGAGGAAACGCCAGATGAATATAAATTTAGAAACACTCTGCGAAGTAATTAGAATCTTCAAAAGTGTCAAGGTCATGAAGGAAAGACTATGAAACTGTTCCAGATAGAGACTACGAGGCACTCCAAGTAAAGACAATGCTTGATTCTGGGCAGGATCTCTTTGCTAGAAAGGGCATGATTGGCCCAGTTGATGGAACTTGAATGGGGTGTGAGGATCAGATGGCAGAAATATTTTGATGTTTACTTCCTGACATTTCAGTTTGTGTTGTGTTTTAAGTAGGAGATTGTCTCTGATTATAGGAACTTCTCACTAAAGCAATTCAGGTGATGTATCAGGTCTGTAGTCGACTCTCAACTGGATCAAGAAAAAAGAGATATTTGTAATGTATTTGTAAGTTTTCCCTAAGTTTGAGACTGCTTTCCAAATAAAAATATATAATTAGAGGCTGGGTGCCGTGGCTTACACCTGTAATCTCAGCACTTTGGGAAGCTGGAGCAGGAGGATTCCTTGAGGCCAGGAGTTTGAGACCAGCCTGGGCAATATAGTGAGACCCAATCTCCACAAAAAAAATTTTTTTTAAATAAAATTTAAAAGGCGAGGGCCCAGTGGGTTCTTAAAGAAATATATATATGTATATATATAATTTAAAAAAAAAATGGCAGAGTGGAATAGGGAGGGTGGGGCAGCCAGGGTAGGGAGGGTGGGCTACAGTGTTGGAATGGTGGTAAGGTGGGCCTCATTGAGAAGATGCCATTTGAGCCAAGACGTGAGGGAGGTGAGGGAACTGAACTAAGCAGGAATCCTGGAAAGAGCATTCTAGAAAAAGGGACCAGGCTCCTAACACAGGAGCTTGCCTGACATGGTGAAAGAACAGCAAGGAGGCCTATTAACTGTGAGAAGAGGGAAGGAGGACCGGCTGAGGACCTGGAGAGATTGCAGGCGTGTGAACACACGTGGGCCTTGTGAAGGACTTTGGGTCTTATTCTGAGCAAGTCTGGCAGCTGCTGCAGGGTTTTGAGCTGAGGAGTGACGTGATCTGACTGGGTTTTACAAGAATTCCTCTGGTTGCTATGTTAAGAACAGACTCAATACAAGACAACTGGCCTGGATGCTTCAAAAATGTCAAGGCTGTGAAAGACCAAAAAGGGCGGGTGCCTGTTCTAGATTAAAGCAATGTGACAGCTAAATGCAAAGTGTGACCCTTGATTTGATAATCGATTTTTTTTTTTTTTTTTTGAGACTGAGTTTTGCTTTGTTGCCCAGGCTAGAGTGAGTGCTGTGGCGTCAGCGTAGCTCACAGCAACCTCAAACTCCTGGGCTCAAGCAATCCTACTGCCTCAGCCTCCGGAGTAGCTGAGACTACAGGCATGCGCCACCATGCCCTGCTAATTTTTTCTATATATATTTGTTGGCCAATTAATTTCTTTCTATTTTTATAGTAGAGATGGGGTCTCACTCTCGCTCAGGCTGGTTTTGAACTCCTGACCTTGAGCAATCTGCCCGCCTCGGCCTCCCAGAGTGCTAGGATTACAGGCATGAGCCACCATGCCAGACCCGATAATGGATTCTTTAAGGCTAAGGCTATAAGGGACATTTGGGGAAAATTTGAGGAAATTTTAATATGAACTATAAATTATATGTTATTGCATCAATATTAATTCCTTGGGGATGGCAATGTATTATATTACCAGTATGTTGTAATTACATATGAGGATGTCTTTGTTCTTTGGAGACAAACTGAAATATTTAGAAGTGAAGTGTCATAAAGTCTGTAACTTTATTATTTTGAAATGGTTCAGAAAAAAAGTGTGTGTACACACACATACACACACACACACACACCCAAAGCAAATGTAGCAAAAGTTATCAGTTGGCAAATGTAGGTGAAAGGAACATGGGTGTTCATTGTCTATTCTTTCAACTTTTTTGTATGTTTGACATTTTTTAAGATAAAGGGTTTTTCAAGATAATAGATTTTAGGAAACGTCCAGAGAAACAGAACCAATAGGATCTCTTTATATGTGTGTAAAGAGACGTCATATAAAGGATTGGCTCGTGTGATTATGGAGTCTGGCAAGTCCCAAGATCCGCAGGCTGAGTTCTGCAGACCAGGAGAGCTGATGGTATAGTTCCCCTCTGAAGGCTGTCGGCTCAAGCACGGGAACAACTGATGTTTCCGTTAGCGTCCAAAGGCACAAGAAGCCTCTGTGCCTGTTTGAAGGGGTCTGGCAGCAGAACTCGCTGTGACTCAACCTTTTTGTTCTATTCAGGCCTTCCAACTGATTGAACGAGGCCCACCCATGTTAGAGCGGGGGCAATCTGCCTTACTCAGTCTCCTGATTTATATGTCACTCTCATCTGAAAACAGCCTCACAGAAACACCCAGAATGATGTTTGACCAAATATCTGGGCACCCCATGGCCCAGTCCAATTGACACATCAAATTAACCATCATGGGAGGGTTAGAGTAGAAGCTGGGAAACCAACGAAGAGGCCCCTGCGATCATCTAGGTGAGAGATGATGGTCGCTTGAACCATGGTGACAGGCCACAGAGGTGGTGAG